AATTTAGCCATTATTGAACACAGGAACAGAGCTTTTTTGATGATAGTACCATAAATTAATCTTTTTTTCCTGAGAAGTACATACAAAATGAAAAATGATTACCATAAGGATAAAATTATATAGGATTTATTAAAGGTGCTGAATTTCAATTTAACATAGGTCATTTCATAAAATTCACTTTTCACAATATTTCTTCAAATCCAACATATTTTAGAAGCATATTAAGAAAAAAGCCCGCATGTTAAAGAAATCTGATAACATGGGATAGAAAAAGCACATTCTTAATTTTAATAAAATTAAATAAAACCCATGGGTTTTTTTAAAATATTCTGTTACCATGGCAACGAAATGTCACAAAAATTTATTTTTCACAATAATAACCGTTTTTAGGAGCATAGTAAGAAAAAATCCCACATGTTAAAGAAATCTGATAATGTGGAATAGAAAGAGCACTTTCTTAATTTCAATAAAATTGAATAAAACCCATGGGTTTTTAAATAATATTCTGTTACCATGGCAACAAAATGTCACAAAAATTCATTTTTTACAATAATAACCATTTTTAAGAGCATAGTTAGAAAAATCCCACACGGTAAAGAAAACTGAAAGCATGGGATAGAAAGACCACAATCCTTATTCTAATAAAACAAAACAAAACCCATGGGTTTTTCAAAAATATTCTGTAACCATGGCAACAGAATATCACAAAAATTCATTTTTCCAGAAAAAAACAAAATATATCATTTTCAGAGTATGTTGTGGAAAAAATACCACAAGCAAAAATTATTGATAATATAAGATAAAAAATGTTCTCCTAAACCTTGCAAATATTAGATAAAACCAGTGGATTTCTCATAAATTTTTGTAACCATGGTAACAAATTATTCTGGAAATGCTTTTTTAAATAAATTGACTTTACAAAATCTCCATGAAATACAAAATAATTATTGACTAACATACATGTATTATTTTCACAGTTTATTGTAAATGCATGAAAATATATATTTTTTTTAAATATGCTTTTGTGATTTGTATCTGGTTACCATGACAACATCTCCAAAAATATTGTATTTGCCTATACAATTTAGTCAAAGTGATTAGTTTGTATGAAGAAAACTGTATGAGTGGCCATTAGCTAAAATAATGAAAGACACAACATTTTTTTTGTACCTAACTTCTTTAAAACAAATATTTGGTTTCTGTGGTAACTGTGATTAACCATTTATGAGACATGATCTAATTATTTCAATTGTATTTTTAAAGCAATTTTTGACAAATCATCTGTAAATGTACTTTTTGCTGAAATACATAGTTTACAGTAAATAAATCTTGAAAAAATGTCAATATAACATTATAAAGTGTATCAAATGTCAAAAAATCCATGTTCTTGACTAGATAGGCAAACTAAAATTCAAAATTTTATGTTGAAGGGGTGTAATATTAAATATCCTTGGGTGTATCCAGGTCTTGGCTTCAATAAAACCCCTTTTACATTTGGAGGAGCTTAAAAATCAATATCCTTTGTTTCTGTTCCGGATTTCTTTCAAAAAGTTTTAAACTGACAGTGTCTTTATTAGATTTTTTTGGCCATAATTTATAAATGTGCTGTTGAGATTATCTGTATCAACTATACAGGTACATCTATGTGTCCTGGCTGCTAAATTGGTGCTCCAGCTAGATTCCTCTGACATAATGCATTAGTTCATTCATCAATCTGGAAAAAAATATAATTCAAAATGTCATATGTGAACTTTTTTTTATGAAAACAGGCATTCCGTTAAGCAAATTTTTTCTTGTTGCTGTTGAAGGAGGAGAGTAGCTAAGGTTCGTTTTCTCTATGATCATGAATACAAGAAGGCCATGGTCCATAACACTCACCAGAGTAACTGGTCATTCTCTTCTACACCAGATTTTCCTACTTGTAATACCTATTGTGGTTTACGTCTATTCTTAGGAGGAGGGGGACATGATTTAAACAATGTAGAATCTACACTTAATCCCTGGATGCTTTAACACAAAAGTTTCAGCTTTTCTGACCCAGTGGCTCCCTATTTCTTCTCTTTTCTTGATTATCACCCCTTGTAAGGGGTCTTAGCCCTGCCAAGTTTGGTAAAAATTGGCCCTGTGGTTCTTGAGAAAAACCTCAGCTCTACAATTCTTCTCTAAATTTTCAAGTGATGTAACCCCTTCTTTAACCCTCACCCCATCCTTGCCTCAAGTAGTTAGCTGTTATTTGATTCTGAATATTAGTATAACTATTACAGCCTTGCTCATCTGAAAAAGCTTTTTTTTTCAACAACAAAAATTCTGTTTAGATATGCTGCATTTTATAGATTTTAATTTCTAACTTTCTACTGATTTTAGTTTCCAATATTCAAAGAAACATTTGTATGGATTGAACAAAATAATGAAGATGACATACGAGTACAATAATACATCTTTTACTCCTATTTAGCTTCCACATACATGTAACTGCAGTAAAACTTGTTAAGTACAAACACAGGCATTGTGAATTAAAAGAAGTCTTCTTGGATCTCCAACTATATAAATATTACAAAATTACAAATATGGATATAACGAATTATATAACGAAATACTTTTACAGGTCCTAGTTTGTTATAACTGAGTTGTACTGTACATATATGTGTAGATAAATGATTTAACAAGAGACCCAGGGCCACATCACTCACCTGGCTTGGATAAAAATCAAAAATCAGCTTTGTATTGAAAAGCTTAAAAGCATGGTCCTGACCTCTCCCTGTAAGAGAGAGAGAGAGGGGGGTATGATTGAACATAAATGAATCTACACTAAGGATGCTTACAGGGTACTGTGAGTTTTTCCCTACAAGTTTGAACACTTTTATTGTAGCCCCACCCTATACCTGAGGGGAGGGGGGGTCATGATTTGAACAAATCTACACTACAAGAAAATGCTTCCATAAGTATATATAACTTACTGGCTTTTCTGTTCTTTGGAAGAATATTTTTAAAGGATTTTTTCTCTATATTCTTAGTTAAACTTTGATTGGCCTTTGTGGTCCCACCCTATCCCCGGGGTCATGATTTAATCAAACTTGAATCTACACCACCTGAAAATGCTTTCATATAAATATTACCAATCAAGGCTTGCTGTATCCGAGAAGAAGATTTTAAAATATTTTTTTTATGTATTCCAATGTTAAACTCTGATCATCTGTTGTGGCCCCGTCCTACACATGGGGTTCATGATTTGAAAAATTTGAATCTACACTACCCGACAATGGTTCCACATAAGTTTCATATTTCCTGGGCTATTGGTTCCTTAGAAAATATCTGTAATGCTATTAATTTAGTAATTCTCTCCCCTTGAAGAATGACAATGACAGACAAAAGACAAACTTTGATTAGAAAATATCACTTGAGCCTTCAACTCAGGTGAGCTAAAAAACTCAGAGAATCAAGATCAGAAGAAATATATACCTGTTTCAAAGTCTCTGAATGGTAGTGTTCACTATAATTCAGCCCTTAGTCAGAAGGTGATTGATTGATTGTATACTGTTTAACGTCCCTCTCCAGAATATTTCACTATGGAGACGTCACCATTGCCGGTGAAGGGTTGCAAATTTAGGCCTATGCTCGGCACTCAGGGCCTTTGAGCAAGGAGGGATCTTTATCGTGCCACACCTGCTGTGACACTGGGCCTCAGTTTATACGGTCTCATCCGAAGGACTGCCCCATGTTGTAGCCTTTTACGACAAGCAAGGGGGTACTGAGAACCTATTCTAACCCGAATCCCTAGGCCCTTGATTGCTAAACGAAAAGGAATGTTCTTAATAATAATAAAAAACAAGAGGCCCATGGGCCACATCGCTCACCTGAGCACTAAGGGTAGGAAAAAGTAGAAAATGGCTTTTTATTGTACAGTTTAAATCCAAAAGCAGTTCCATGACCAATCATGGATTTGCTATTTTTTAGAAAATGATTTTTAAAGAATTATCCTATATATTTCTATGTAAAACTTTGTTCGGCCATTTTGACCCCGCCCTAGCCCCGGTGGTCATGATTTGAACAAACTTGAATCTACACTACCTGAGCATGCTTCCATATAAATATGATGAATTATGGCATTGTCATTCTTGGGAAGAAGATTTTTAAAGAATTTTCCTGTATATTTCTATGTAAAACTTTGGTCGGCCATTTTGGCTCCGCCCTACCCCCGGGGGGCATGGTTTGAACAAACTTCAATCTACACTACCTGAGCATGCTTCCATTTAAATATGATGAATTATGGCTTTGTCATTCTTGAGAAGAAGATTTTTAAAGAATTTTCCTATATATTTCTATGTAAAACTTTTGTCGGCCATTTTGGCCTCGCCCTACGGTACCCCCGGGGGTCATGATTTGAACAGACTTGAATCTAACTATGTGAGAATGCTTCCATATAAATATGATGAATTATGGCTTTGTCATTCTTGGGAAGAAGATTTTTAAAGAATTTTCCTATATATTTCTATGTAAAACTTTGGTCAGCCATTTTGGCCCCGCCCTACCCCCGGGGGTAATGATTTGAACAAACTTGAATCTACACTACCTGAGGATGTTTCCCCATAAGTTTCAATAAATTATCTTTACTGACACAGTGGTTCTTGAGAAGAAGATTTTTAAAATATGCCACCAAATTTTCATTAATTCCCAATTATCTCCCTTTGAATGAGGACGTGGCCCTTCATTTGAACAAACTTGAATCCCCTTCACCCAAGGATACTCTGTGGCAAGTTTGGTTGAAATTGGCCCAGCGGTTCTTGAGAAGAAGTCGAAAATGTGAAAAGTTTACAGACAGACGGACATCTAAACAGATGGACGCCGGACAAAATGTGATCAGAAAAGCTCACTTGAGCTTTCAGCTCAAGTGAGCAAAAAACTGCAAGTTGTCAACACAAAATACCGAATTATCTAATGATACATAAATAATATAAAGTATATGTAACTTAGTTGAATTGATAATCTTTTCTTGGTGATTCTTTGGTTGTCCTCAATTTTTAAGTTTACACTACCTCAGCTGTGCAGGTGTTGTCAAAGGGGATTTTGAAGTTCAGAACAAGGCTCAGATTGCATCTGAAATGATAACAAATCATGACATTCATCATATGACAAGAGAATGCATACATTTATATAACAATTTAGCTTTTGAATTATTGATAAAAAATATTTATTTACCTCCCCCCTCCCCCATGTACTAGTGATATCATCATGAATTCATACTATTAGTTATAAATTGAAAAAGAGTTCTAGTTTTGTAGGATCAAATTTTATTTTTTAAGTTTTAATCCTAAATTAGATGAAAAAATTGGCAGAAACCCATGCATATTGTATGTGCTCTCATATTTATAAATCTCTATCTTTCTATGTGTGTATATATTTGCTTGTAGGAATATTTGGGAAGCCCCCCTCCCCCTTTCGGATAAGGTTTTTTTGGCTCTAACACCCCCTCCCCCCCCCCCCGTTTCAACTGATAAAACCATAACAGTATTTTATTGGTTGTTTTGCTTGTCAATTAAATTTTGTAGGGCTCCCACCCTTCTATATATATATATATAATTCAAATAAAAGGAAATGCATTTGAAGAATATCATACACATATAAATTTGGAAATATACAGTTTGAAAGGGCACAATTTTACAATTTGATTTAATGAATAAGAAAAATAGTAATTATGGTTTTGCCATAACATCTGAGTTTTTTCAGGGCTTAGTTAAATATTCACTATTTTAAGAAGGACCCATTGGCCAGTCCGTAAACAGTGTTTGAAATAACAGTGCGTCTGACTGCCCGAGACACACAAATTTTGCTGTGGGCTTACCAATTTGCACATATTGATGCCCAACTGGACTTGTTTAAAGTTTTCATTAATTAAAATTTAATAATTTGATTAATCGCTTCCAAATCAACTAATGGTTTCATGAGTAGTACAGGATTTGTGATTAAAGGGAGGGGGGGGGGGAGGGGCGTGGATAACTTTGGGGTCTTGATAGTGATGTTCCATAGTACAGTCATACGTTTAGTCATACCATAGTTTGAATGAAGGGGGTCCAGGGGGCAGAGCCCCAGAAGCTCCTGAGATTTCATGTGTTTAAGAGTAAAATTAGGCAAAAAAATAGTGGTATTGTATGAAAGTATAACATTATTAATATAATATTTTCCTACAGCAAAACATGGACACTATTATATTCATATGGGAGGCCGGGGGGGGGGGGGGGGGGGGGGGGGGGGGGTATCATTTGCTCATTGCTCACAGTACCTCTAGTTTCAAAAATAAATTTTACAAAAGACAATTATTTTCTCAGCTAGGCTGGTAGTTTTTTAGCAGGACTGATAACTTTTACTAGCAGTCAGCCTGTATGTTTGCTATCATTTTTTCTTGACTTTCCCCTTTTTCAATTTGAAAAAAAATAGTCAATATTGTCTTTGTTTAGACATTTGTCTGTGTTATGTATTAAATACCTGATCTAAATATGACATCCATAGAGGCGCCGAGACATAGAAAAAATTATGCTCCATCCAATCTCTGCTGTGGCTTTCACTGCTTCTTGCTATGGCTTCATGTATGCTGAGGTCGAGGATTTCTTCCAGTCGACTGTGTATATTGCAGTACTAAGGGAGTATCGACGGAAAGGAGAGATACTCATCATACTCTAATCCCCAGCAGCGAGCTACTGTTCAAATTCCAGTACAAAATTAAATGTTTTCCCCAAAATTAACTGAATTTAAGTAGTTTTGATGATATTGTTGAACAAGTTAGCCTTTTTCAAAACACTCAAACTCTTAGCATGTTTAGGAAATGAAATTTTGTTTTCGTCAGATAAAATTAAGCAAATTGCAGGCAGTTATTTTTTTTATCCTAGGAATATATTTTTCTAATAAAAAATTTAGACTTACATGCCCCTTGGATGTATGAAAACTGGAAAAACTTCCAAAATGAAGATGAAATCACACACATTTCTTAATCCTCCCCTTCTAAACTGAAGAGTTAAATACACTCTTTCCAACTCCTTTTACTAAAGAGCGCCAAGGGAGATAACTAGAATTTCATGTTTTTACATAATTTAAAATCACAATATCTATTCGTAATTAAAATAACCCATGGGTTTTTTAATTGTTTTTTACTCTTTGATACTAGATGTTCAATATTTTATAATTCACATTCAAGGAGAGTGCGGGCCTTCTTAAAAAATCACCTGCACGTACAGACACCTTTCAATGGATACTGTTGACTGTTTCAGTATATATTGAATTCATTTTTTAATCAACTATGCATGAAATCCATTTATAACTGTGATCAAGTATTTAGTTTGATGTATCTTAATGTAAATATGATAGTTTTTGAAAAATCAATCACTATCATGAATCACTTATTTTCATTTCTGCCTGGTTCTTATAAATAGCTGTACTTAAAGATTACCGAAATAAACCGAAATAAACAATTAAGAAGAGGAAAAATAAGACAATGTAAATATAATCAATGAATTCATATTTTAGGATGTCTTCGGTCCTATAACACACCTGGCCTTGCCTTAAAAATATCATACCACGCTTACATGCGGTATTCAATTTGTTGGCACGGCCGGGTGTTATATAGGACCAAAGACATCCCTAAATATGTTTTCATTTCTTAATTGAAAATGCATTTTTGTTATTTTGCAGTGTTATTTGTTGCTCATTTCTATGACTAAAACATCAGTGAACGTGGACTTCTTCGCAGTTTTTTTTCATATAATTTCCAAATATAGTATCTGTAGGCATTGATAAGAAATCACATGTCAAATGCAAAATAAAAAAAGACTCTTATTTGTTTAAAAATCATAGTAATTTGAGGTTTGAAATTTTTGTTCTGAGGACTTCATAAAATATTCTAAATAGTTAGTCTACCATTTTGTTTAACATTTCAGAACAAGAAAATTTGAACAATTCTACATGATTCAGTGAACACAAAATCGTGAAAATTGAGCACAAATTGACACAGCATTAAGTTTTATAAAAATTAGTTTTTCAACGAAATATATAGTGTAAAAATGTACATGTAATTATGACACATTTATGGCCTGGTACTGTAGGTTTCTTAGAACAGGTCTTCCAACAAACTGTTTGATTCCAAGAATAATAGAGCCCTTTATTTGCAGACCTATTTGCCCATAAGAAGCAGAATGTATATGCAGAAAAAAAGGTATCAAGATATACAAACAACGGTTTTTTATTAACAATATTCATTTTCATTCCAACGATAATTGGAAATAAATCTTTGACCTCAAAATAATAGACACCACAGGAACTGCGACATCTTTTTTCAAATTTGAATGTACTAAAGGAAAACATTCATGGCAACTAAACTTATTCATAAATGTGATGTCATCAAATTTCAATTTACAATTTTCCTGATTAATGCAAACAATACAATCAAGACCTGCAAATGAAGCATATGTCTTCCAGTCGAATTGGTACACAAGAGTATATTCTTAGTACGATTTATTTCTTAAACGAGACAAGATATTGGCAAATATGTTGTTGTTACATGTTCTAATTATCAATAGTTTCGTTTTTAAAGTCTAAATTTCGTAAATTCAATTTTGGTAACAATGACCTTGTCAAAAATACAGTCAAACATTCAGTAGAATATTGACTGACGTTTTTTAAATACAAATTGGTTATTTTACATCACATTGCTTACGGATTTTTTTCGTTTAGGTGATCATGAAAAGCAGTACACGGAAGAATGACCGGTAAACAAGGGATGCTAACTCTTTTATGGCACGTGATTCTACGTCTAATTTTTTTAGAGATAAGTAATTAATCTGCCCATAATTTTGTATTATTTCAATGGATTATATAGTTTGGGAAAGGTTTTTCTTATTTCTTGTTTTCCTGACTCTTTCACTCTATTCAAAATTTCTCTGTAATGACATATATTTACCTTTTAATTGTAATTGTAGTCAAAATATAACGTACCTCGTCGTCTTTTATTTCCCGCGGACAAGTGTGTCTATATGCAGTTTACGCACTTCCTTCATCAATATTCATAGAAAAGCCTAAATGTCTCACTGCAGATCAAACTGAATTGTTATTTAATTACAACGACATATTTAGTAAAATCTATAGGCATTATTATTATTTTGTTTTTACACATCATGTTTTTATAATCATTTACGCAGCACTCTTAAGGCCCACTATAAAGAAATCAATGGAATAAAGACGTGCTTAAAACAGGAACTTTTTAAATCTAAATTTATTTTTTATGGCCTTTTTAATATAACATAACTTCAATAGTGAATTAACATAGTATATTTGCATATCCACTGCTCTCTCCCACTATGAACCTGCAGGCTTCAACTGCGTTCATAGCACTATAGACGCAACTGCTTCTGCTATGAGTGCAATTGCTCTATCACACTCGTGTAGAACAATCTCTGCTACACTTACATACCGTGTTGAGAAGTATATATATGAAATGTTTTTTGAGAGGAATAAAGATAAGTTTTTAATAATATTCTTTGAAAAAAAGGAAATTCAGAATATTTAAAATTGCTGATTCATATCTTTAAAAATTTAATTTTGGTTAATGTATTTAATTGTATAATAAAACTTTTTAAAATTTTAGAGAACGGCTATATTTTTATTTTTTCGTATCATGCATATTTGTACAAAGAACGATAACTCTTCACACTTGGGTAATAACATTCAGAAAGAGAGAATTTAACTAGTATATATCTAGGCCCTACTTCAAGAATGATTTCAGCTATTAAAATTAAATAGAAAAACTAAAAAAAAAAAAATCATAGAAAAGCATTCTGGAGTAATGATCATTATAAAAGCATTCTCATTTTTCATCATAGATTTAAATTATTGATTTTTGTCGGAGGGTTTCAATAACGTTGATCGATGACGTCACAACTGCATCAAAACAAAAATTAAGAGAATGTGATGACGGCGCTGCTTGTATCCAGATAACTGTGTTTGAGAGGGAAATACTTAATAAATTGTTTGTGATTTATTAGAGAAAAGGATCATTGATCAGGTGAAGTGATTTTAAAGCCGTATGTTTTTCATTACTAAAGACAAGAAGCTGCGTCCTTATGTAAGTCAGGATTTCCTCTGATATTCTTGAAAAACTCAAAGAATGCAAATATAAGTAATAAACAACGATTATTCAGTGAACATGGCATTATGAATAGGAATAGCTCTGCTGGCATATTTTCCATGATGCGCTAGCGCGCATCATGGACTATGCCAGCAGAGCAATTGCTATTCATAACGCCATGTTCACTGAATAACGTTGTTTATTTCTTAAATACCCCACACTGTACTAAACTTAGTTTGGTCCCATCAATGGACAGTCACGTGATAAATGCATAATATGCGTACTGAATGGAGGTAATAAACAAAAAGGGCATACCCTAGTTGAAATTTAAAATTTAAGTTACCATTACTTTCTGCATACTTTTACCTTCTACAAAATGCTGCTACTTTGCATAAAATTTGCAGTTTATCAGTTAAAATTTCTAGTAAATATTCCAATGTCGAAATATGTATGAACCTTACAAATTATTTTATATCCTCATTAAGTAACATTCTCGATTTAAAGAAAGTAGCAGCACGTTTCAAGTAAAGGAAACCATACTTCATTTCTATTCAAAAAAATGTTTTATATGCTTTAAGTGTACGCCCTTGCGAAAAGGCAATTTAATAAGCCACCTCGATGTTAAACAAGCCAAACCTGTACATATAAACACGCTAAAATTAATTACTTACATTCTCTCTCTAATCATTGAAGATTTGCACAAAAAAGATTTTACATTGGTATTAATAGCCTATCTTAAATCTATAAATAATATGCTGTTTAATAATAAAAAGCATTTTACATTGTAAAAAAATATACTTTATCTGCCTTTCACAGCACATAAATACGTCATTTTTACCAAAATGACGTCATGTCGACAAGTTTGCTGCGATCAGTGATTTGTTGTAGACTGTTGACTGTAATTCAACTAGCAAGTTTTTAAAGTGCACTAATACGATTTGATGTTGTTTATTATGCTTATACAGATTAAAATTGCAAAATATTTGATTTTCGGGTATTATGAGGAAAACAAAATGTAACTATTTTTGTGTGACGTCACAGTTAACATTTTCCGTATAAATTATGCCTCAACAATGTCTTAACAATGCTGCGTAATCATTTCGTTTCACATAATAAATCGCATTTATTTAGCGTGTATATCTTTTATTATCAATTTTAATTGGAATTTAATCATTCGCATTTTTAAGAAATAAGGTATCATTTTTAAACATCTATCGGGGTATAAATACGTATCATCATATCATCAACACATCATAAAGCCCTTCGGGCTTTATGGAATTTAATCTCGTGACCGACCCGTATTTATACCCCGATAGATGTTTAAAAATGATACCTTATTACATGACTTATTCATACTTTATATATGCCTGGCTGTGACTTTTAACGTGTAAAATGCATTATTTTTCAAACCCAACGGCATGTATGTAATCCACTGAACGCACGTCGACCCATTATGACGTCACTGAGAAATTACGTCAAACGATTATCCATACGCACATTTATGACCTTTTGACCCCATACCTGTATTTACAGTTATAGATACGCTTTTCTTTCAGTAGTGTTATATAAAGGAAAACATTTGCAAAAGTAAATATATTAAGAATGATATTCTAAACACATCTTTTGGATTTTCTGTCATAAAATATTAAATTCAGGATATGTTTCTAATTACATTCAGGCAATATTTACTAAAAATTAAAAATAAAAAAATCATACAATATATTGTATAAATAAAAACAACGCTTGTCATTTTTCCAAATGTATTATTTAATACTCTACAGTGTTAAAATACAATAGGCGTTGAAAAATATACTTTAGTATTCAAAAAGTGATGATCAAACGCAGCAATCGTAAGGTTTCCGATAGAATTTTGCAATGCACTGTGTGTCTTCACTTTTCTGAACTACAAATTCATTGCGTCATAATAGAAGATGAAGTCAAGTCACTGCGAACTTGAGGTGTTTTGATAAGGAAAGTGTTATTCACTTTACGACTTATTTAAAGTTCATGTATATTTTAGAGCGCTTATGCAAAAAGTCACGTGCATTTTTGTATCATTTAAATATTGCATTTCGGATTTGATTCATTTGTATAACATGAGTTGCATGAGTTACGTCAAAATATTCTGAATTCCGAAAAAATGGTCTCATTGTCGACACTGAAATTAAAATATAAAGAATAAAGCTTATTCGAAAAAAAGTAAAAGGACAGTTAATGCTTTTTTTATAAACCGCTTACAACATAAGTTAAAATAAACTTTATTCCTTAGATATTTTACTCAGTTACTCTTGACTGAAATTCAGCTAGTTGAAAATGTTTATGAAAATATACTTTTGAAATGTAATCTGTTTTACACCCGCGGTTCAATATAAAATTTAATATGTGTGTTTAAAAGAGTCAGAGGCAGGCGATTATTCAGGATTAATTTGAGATTTTTTTGTGGAAATCATTAAGAAGAGTTTGTTCTCTAACTGGATCTTGCTTGGGAAAACTTAGTGATTGCTTTGTTTAAATACAGATTGCGATATTGATTGTAAAATACCCTCAAACGTGTGGGTAAAATGAACTTCTCAGGAATATTTTCTACTCAAGTAATGCTAGCACATTTCGGGAATGCAAGGATATGACAAGTTTATTTATAAAACAAAATTTTAATAAAAATTGATTGTGTTATTTGGTTGCGCCAAAGCGATTTATGTAAAACACTTATAAAAAAAATTATAAATGATCGTCACGTAATTAATATAGTCATGTGATTTCTTTACAAACACCGAGAGTATCCTATATCTACGTTGACTGTTCTAAGATACGTAGCTTCTGGATTAAAATCAAAACTGACCTTGAAATGCAATATTATGTTTTAAACTCGTATTAAAGCTTCAGGAAACCTTAACATTGCTGCATAAAGCTGCAATTCCATGCCTTCATATAAGTTCATATTTATTATGTACAAAACTGCAAAGGATGAATTATAAATCGGTATTGAAATGAAATATTTAAGTTTTATCAATCACCTGTTTCAAACATTTATTTTACTATTTTTCCAACAAAAATACCCCATGGCAGTTTCTTGTTGCTTAGTTGAACCCGCAATTGATATCAATGAACAATTTTCCACCGCTATATGGCAGTTTCTTTTGGTGTTAGAATTCAATCCGAAGTCACATTAGAAAAAGATCGTACAAAAAGACTAAACATAAGATATGGCTTTATAAAAGACAAGACAGGAAAGATATTTGGTCAGGAATATAATGCCACATAGTAGCAAAAATTATGTAGTAGCCCATGAGAGCGGTAGGAAACTTTTAATGAATGGTTTTTTTTTTTCTGTTTTTTTTTTTTTTTAAATGAAAAAAAAAATAGGATTACAAAACAGTTTGCGATGACAGCTAAGGACAAAGAGATAAAATCATAAATACATAAACAATCATGCTCTATTCCGCTTACAAACAATATAATCATTGATTTACAATTACAAATATCCTTCCTTAAATGGCGATTCTGAAAAAATGGCCTTCAATTTTTGATGAAGATGGTTACTTCACATGCCCTTCGAGCTTTATAGGTTTTGGTTCTGTGAACAACTTCATGTCATATCCCAATGAAACTCAAAAAAAGTTAACTTGCGTCTTATAATTGAACAAATGACTGTAATATGATAGTATAAGAATAATTACAAAATATAAAGTTTTAGGTTATAGGTTTATAGCTAAGTAGAGACGTTGTTAATCCTCTTTTAATTGTCCTCTTCTTCCAGAGTATATGGAAGTAAAGCTTTGTATTTAGGTTCACTCTTTATAGCTGATATGTCTATCACCTGGGAAAAAATGAATATTTATTGACTTTTTTCTCTAAACAAATTAATGTAGATATACGAGGGGCATTTCAAAATTTCTGAGAACTGTTTAATAAAAAAAATAACCGTTTCACGGAAATTATTGAGTTTGATATCATTGGAAAGATCAGAAAAATACACACATATTGTGACGTCACTTTATAATTTTTATGACGTAATAAGTCCGAAAATGACGTCATAATTCCGTATGCTCACGATACTGGCCATAAAAATGATGTAACAAAAGACAAAATTTGATTAAATTAAAATTTTAAAAACAACTTTTACTCTTTAATCGGGTGCAAGCTATTCTTGGGATCCGAATTTGAATCAATTAGAAAAAAAAGCCAAGAAACAAGTCAGGGGCAACCCAGATAGCAAGCCGACGCTGGGCCGATGTTGGCATGTGGTTGGTGGATCGGCTAAATATCGCGGTTGGCAGAACGATATTGGGCCAACATCGGTCCGACATTGTCATTACAACAGTCCGTGTATTGACATTGTTCCAACATCGGTCCGACATTGTAATTACAACAGTTGGTGCATTGACATTGTACCAACATCGGTCCGACATTGTAATTACAACGGTTGGTGCACTGACATTGTTCCAACGTCGGGCCAACATCAGGCACGTAGCATCGTTCTCAAAAGTGGGGGGGACATAGAATTTTTTTTACTTACCTGAAAAAGTTGACAAGCAAAAGGATGGGGGTGGTGGTGGTCAACTTTTTTCAAGGCCAACTTCCTTTCACTTCCAATTTTTTTTGCTATTTTTCCTTGATTTCACTATAGGCCCAGCCCCCCCCCCCCGTTGCTACGTGCCTGAACATTGTTATTTTTAATGTTGAAGTATGGTCATCTTTGTAATGTTGGGCCGACATTGTTGAACCAATGTTGCTATGTAAACTTATGTTGAAACGTTTAAAAAAATATTTATTTAATTTATTTTTTTTTATTCTTTGTTTATTTATTCATTTCTAGTTATTTAACCCTGACGTAGATTTTCAAAACTATGGAATATAACATAGATTGTTCTCTAAAACTGTCGACTAATAGTACAATTACGTCGGGATCGAAGTCGGGCTCGATAAGCAATTAATTTAAACAACACACCGCGCCGAAATTTAAATTGTTGGTGGGTTACAAGCAGCCATGTTGATGTTGTACAGAAGGAAAGTTCGAAAGAGAGTGTCGCGAAAAGGAGAATCATGACTAGCTTTGGATAGAATTTCTGTTTTGATAGAAGATGAAGACATTTTACGACCCGGTACTGCGGTAGGTACAATGTACAAAATATTTTAACATTTGTCCTTGAATGAATAATTGCTTTTGCTACTGTTCCTTAATCAGGACACTACACATAAAACACCTTGCAGTGAAATCATTTGAGGAAGCGCTATTTCAATTTTGTTGTAAAATTTTAACACTTCTAAACATCTCTCATAAAGAAGGATTTCAACCCCAATTTCCTTGTTTGGGATCGATTCAGGAATTTTAGTGTTCCTCTCTTCAACATTTACAGAGTATGTTGTACAATGTAATAATATATATTATTTATAATATTTTTAAATGCATGTTCAAGATAATTTTCAGCACTTATTTTGATAATTTAATAGTTGCATGCAGTGGACTGTGCCCGAGACAATTCCCTAAGCGCCGGCGAGTTGTCAGCTTGTAAAAATGGTGAGAACCAGCTCATTTTTTTTTTTATTTTAAAGTAACACAAATAACCTAACATTGTTTTTATTAACTTGTATCTTTTAGCATAAGACTATAAAAAATATTGCATCCACTAAAGTAAACAAGAGGTTTATATTCTTAATTTTTAATTTCCTTATCCTAAAAATACATAACAATGGATTCTGACAGGTAATCTAAACAGTGGCGGATTTAAGGGGGGGGCGCAGTGCCGCACCCGGCGCCCCCCTAAAATTGTCAAAGTTAGTGTAACTCACAGTTTCGTCTAGAAAAATGTCTAATTGGTAGACCTCATTTTAACCCTACAAAATCTCTAGAATCCAGGAGCTTCCGGGGGCTTCGCCCCCCTGGGCCCCACTAGGCGGCCCCCAGACCCCTTGCCTAATTTTGCCTAAATTAAAACAATGCAAGATAGTGAATTTCCATTTTACACTATACTGAACTGTCAGGTTGAAATAACCAATTGTCTTTACAGTCTTGTAGAGCCTTACTTTATTATTTGTCATATATTTTTGTTTATATATGCGATAGATATTGATTATAATACACCTTATGGTCATCTTTTCTTTCAGAAATTGTGCCTGCAAAGTTTGAAGTGGCTATGGAAAGGATCAATATTGAATTTTCTGAACCTTCCTCCTTAAAGTGAATCCGTTCGTGACTGACATGACCATTTATTTGGCTACCCTCTAACATAACGCCATATTTTATTTGTTTATTATTGTGAATTTCATGGGATATCAGCGAGGAAGTGATTCAAGCAGATACTTGAGAAATTTCGGATCTTACTTAATTAGGATCTTTGGCATATTCGGTGAAAATAGCATGTGTTGATTTTATGGGATCATTTTTATTCATGTAGTTGTGTAGTTGATATTTTGTACTTAATACATGACTGTGTTTGTCACTCTAGCCTATTCATTAACTTTGTACGTAAACGTACATGGGCAACTGGAAGTTCTTTGTTACTGCAATTGACCTCTCCCAATGTCATTAATTAAGTCAAATACCATATTTTAAAAAAAAGAAATAGTTTGTTTTTTTTACAAAGAATGTCGATCAGTGAGAGTACTTGGAAAAAATGTGCTTACATTGTACATCTATAAGTGTATATGTAATATTATATATTTGTTTCAAAACACATTGTAAAAGAAATGAATATTTAATTTTGAAATATAGATTTGATATATGATAAATTGTGATGTTATCATTATTTCAGTTTTCATTCCTGGGATTTCTTATATTTCCATGGAATTCCATAGATTTCTTAATATCCTTGTACAAAAATATGTTGGGACAACATTGGGCCAACATCAGAATTGTAAATTTTGTATGACATTGGGCCAACGTAGCGCCAACATGTCGGAGCAACGTTGCGCTGATGAGCAAAATTACACTGGCCCAATATAAATTTTCCGACATTGGGCCAACATAACTGACAACAGTGGCCCAACGTTGGACCAACGTCAGAATTATCGTTCTGTGACATTGGGCCAACGTTGCGCCAACATGTCGGCGCAACGTTGCGCCGATGAGCAAAATTACGTTGGCCCAATATCAATTTTCCGACATTGGGCCAACATAACTGACAACACTGGCCCAACGTTGGACCAACGTCAGAATTATCGTTCTATGACATTGGGCCAACGTTGCGCCAACATGTCGGCGCAACGTTGCGCCGATGAGCAAAATTTCATTGGCCCAACATCATTTTCCGACATTGGACCAACGTAACTAACAATGTTGGCCCAACATTGGGCCAACGTAAGCTTGCTTTCTGGGAAGACTTTTGAACATTTAATTTGTAAACGGTAAGAGTGCTGTTACTCAAAATATATTTGGTGAAAACTGCATTAATATTCTTCAGTTTTATATATAAAATGTTTAATTTCATACATTGGAGAGCTTTATATTATAAACGACCGAAAATCCAGTCATATCATGTAACTTAAAATCTTAAATGAATGCCGATGATGGCATAACCGGGCATAAACCGTATAATTAACAAACTATACAATGAAATATGGAATTCTTGATAAACGGTACCATAGTCCTACTCTATTTCTTTGCAAATAAAAATTTTCTTTGAAATATTTTTGCAAATAAGCCTTTGGCAGAACTTTTGAAATTGTCTAATGTGGATAAAAACGCGACTTTTCAGTATGCTAAACATTCTATACTATGACATCATTTTCGCAGATATTACGTCATAAAAATTAAAAAGTGACGTCAAGATATGTGTATATTTTTCTGATCTTTCCAATGATATCAAACTCAATAATTTCCGTGAAATTGTTAATTTTTTATTACACAGTTCTCAGGACTTTTGAAATGTCCCTCGTAAGGTTTAAAGTGTTTTTTTTTAAAGTTTTATAAGGATGTAAATACGGGTTGGCCATGTGATGAAATCAAAGAAAGCTCCAAAGGCAGTATGGTAGTTTGTTTACATGTTCACCCACATATAAATCCTGATAAATGTTTTAAAATAACATTTTATACCATATATTTACATATGAAACTGATTAACAAACTATATTATGTACAAAAATTTCAACCTATAAAATAAATGATCAAACCTCAACAGTATAAATTATATTAAGATCTTATTAACTTTAATTTATATTAACATGGTAAAAAGCATGTGAGGTATTTACACGACTCATAAAATCTACATATATATTGAACTTTTTAGCTCACCTGAGCCGAAGGCTCAAGTGAGCTTTTCTGATCAAAATTTGTCCGATGTCTGTCGTCGTCGTTGTCGTTGTTGTCGTTGTCGTAAACTTTTCAAATTTTCATCTTCTTCTCAAGAACCACTGGGCCAATTTCAACCAAACATGCCACAAAGTACCCATAGGTGAAGAGGATTCAAATTTGTGAAAATGAAGAGCCATAATAATGAATTAAAAATTAATGGCATTTAAAAAAATATTTTCTCAAGAACCATTGGCCAGAACAGATAAAACTCTTGTGGAATCATCCTCAGGTAGTGTACATTTAGGTTTCTTCAAATTATGATCCCCTGGGGGTAGGGTAAGCCGATCAAAGTTTTACATAGGAATATCTGGGAAAAACTTTAACTATCTTCTTTCCAAGATCCACTGGACCAAGAAAGATGAAACTTATGTGAAATTATCCGCAGGAAGAGTAGATTCAAGTTGTTCAAATCGTGACCCCTGGGGGTAGGATAGGGTCAAAATGGACGATCAAACTTTTAGATAGGAATATATAGGGAAAACTTTGTAAATCTTCTTTTCAAGTACTTCAAAGCCATGCTTAGTGATATTCACTACTTAGGTAGTGTAAATTCAAGTTGTTCAAATCATAACCCCCAAAGGTACACAATGGTGGTACATAGAAAATAAAGAAAAAAAAATCCCCAAAACAGAAAAGCTATATTTAGTCATATTGGCATGTAAGCAACCTCAATGAAGATTTAAATTCTATCGCGTAGGGAGGAAACAATGGGGAATCAAATTCAAATTATTAAAATTCAAGTCCTCCTCCACTCTCAGTCAACTTTCAGTTCTGATCTGATATTTGCTTTTTTCTAACCGATTTGCTCAAGTGAGCGATGTGGCCCCTTGGCTTCTTGTTTATTTAAAGACAGCAATATAATTATATATGTATTTTTAAACTGTTTTTACTTTGTTTCATATTGCTTTACCTTAAATCCCATTTGATTATGTAACAAAAAGCTATCATTTTCTTTCACAAATCAATTAAGACCATTATATAAATATATATTGTTTTAAATTCTATATTTGCCAAACAAAATGAGATAAACATTGTTTAATTACACACGGAAAACTAGAAGAATTTTTTTAAATTAGCCCTTCCATACAATTCATCCTTTTGTTATCAATTTGTTTATACCTTCATTGCTTTAATTATTCTGGGTTTACTCTAGCCTTTATTGTCTTTTTTGGATCGATAACATTTAATGTTTTAATATAATCTAATAAAAAAATTCAAGACAGGAAAAATGTGCTTTTCTGATTGGTTTTTACCATTACGTTCATTTGAGATGTAACTCAATATGTAGCACATTATTAAAATCAAGTCCATTCATTCGTTCACGAATTGTATGCAGGTGAAGCATGCACTGTGGCAACGCACTTTGAAACAATTACGCACTTTGAAAATACGTTCAAAGTGCGTTAAAATTGGGAAAATATCAACGCAATTTGAAAAGAAAAATTCAAAGTGCGTTAAGAGCGCACATAAACATTTTTGACCATGGAGGCATTTAACGCACTTCGAAAAAAAAATGTATGAAACAAAGAATTCTAGACTTACATTATAGTAATAGAGAGAATCAATTTTTAATAATTATATCTTTCGAAAACCCTTTTTTTTAATTTACATGTACTCATTTAAACTCATTGAGAACAAGGAGAAGACGAGTAAAATGTCTCTCATCCCAACTCTTTTTTTCTTAAACATTGTACATAGCCGTTGGTAGTAAATTGAAAGTTGACCCCCCTCCCCCCTCCAGGTAAGCCCCAATTTTTAATGCATACATATATTATGTATATCTTTGCAAATCATTTATGTGCCTATATGTAAACCCCCACCCCTATCCTTCCCGGTACTGATGCCTATGCTACACAAAATTATGTTTATTTACATAACTGGTATGACGTTGAACACTTTCAATTAATTCAATTTTACATAAAATGCATGCAAACTGGAAAAAAAAAATTTAGAACAGTAAATCATTTAAGAGAGAAAGAATTTTCAAATTATGGAAAAATCAAAATCGATCATTTTTACATCCTAAAGTGACTTCTTCACAGAAATGTTATCAAACATGTTCAATTATTTATCATACCAAAGATTTGCAAGAATATTGACCAATGCATACACAATTTTTAAAGTGCGTTAATATGGTCGATATTATCGCACTTTGAAAAAAAAAAAATTTTTCAAAGTGCGTTGATTTGGTCCCAAATTTAACGCACTTTAAATTTTTTTTTTCAAAGTGCATAATGTTTCAAAGTGCATTGTAACAATGCACATACATGTATTTTATCATTCCTAAACTTGAAAACGTGATATATTAACCATCAGAACGCTTGTGGTCGGTGATACCTAAAAACAATATTGAAGGCGGAAATAAAGTAACATACCCTTTAGCGCTTCTCTGGAAATGTTAATTCAATCTCTTTCATGTCAACTTGTACTTCCTATTTGTTAAAAAATAAAATCAGCAGTGCAAGCTGTGAAAAGCAAATCTTTTACTATGAAGACAATTAAGCGGTCATGACATGTTAGCTCCTGTTACGCTGCTTTTCATACTCAAATTGAAGAAGGTGACAGTATGTGATTCAAATAGATAAACGAATATGCAAGAAAAAAGGATCATTGAATGAAGTTCATTATACTGACTTTGTTGTTAGATCTACTGCTCTTTTTCTCCAGTATCTGAAAGAGAGTAAATGACTTTATTGCTTTCACATTATAAAAAAATTTTACATAATGGAAAATTTCGAAAAGGAAACATAAGTTTCGCACTTTTTGAAGCTTCTTTGAAATACTTTTCTCCATCTTTTTCATTTCGTCTTGTAACACCTATAAATGAAATGCATTATGGTCAGAAATGTAGGCAATGTAAAACAAGTATTTTGTGCCAACCATTAAAATATATTAATCATAACGAATCATGATCTTTATCTTTCAGTGTTATGCACTCAGTCTTATTAGTTGAGAGAGTTACCTACAAAAGAAAACAGTTCATGATGTCTTCATGATGAGCAGGGTATTAACTGTGTTGATAACTAATATACATGTATCTCTTACCTGTATTCATCGATCAAAAACATACTCAGAATATGTCATTTGCGCTGTTGATATTCCCTATCTTAAGATTATGAAATTATATTTAAAAAATCATCTCATGACACTGACCGGCCCCTTTTCAGAGATTTAGCCGAATTTTAATGGTTATTACTCTTATAATGAATGTTTTAAATTTATTAATAATTCAATCACCATTAAAAAACAAACATATAACAAATGGGAAACATCGAATTTTAAACTAGGAATAAACCTTATTTTGAATCTGTGTAATGTTGTGCGTAACGATTGGAGGAAAAACAGCGCAGAAGAAGTCCTAATGACTGTTGGAAAATATGTCCAATTTTGGATATCAGTGTCAGGAGCAAGACGTTTTATAATACATGAATTACATCAACTACAAAACAAGAAAAATATTGATTTTTTTAATATACTCACTTTGCTGTTGATTTTACTGATATTGTCCTCAAGCGTCTGTAAGGAAAGGAAATCGGCAATTATTGTTTTTTAATCAGTGAGATAAAATATATTGGAGACTAATATAACAAAGAAACATAATTATTGGTAATTGTTTGAGAAGTCCTCCCAAATCGCTTTCATTTTATTGTGATCCCGTGGGGATCCGGGTTAGAATAGGTCCTCAGTACCCCTTGCTTGTCGTAAAAGGCGACTAAATGGGGCGGTCCTTGGGATGAGGCAGTATAAACCGAGGCCCTGTGGCACAGCAGTGGCACGATAAAGATCCCTCCCTGCTCAGTGGCCCTGAGTGCCGAACATAGGCCCAAATTTGCACCCCTTCACCGGCAAAGGTGACGTCTCCATACCAGTGAAATATTCTGGAGGGGGACGTTAAACAGTACACAATCAACCATTTTATTGTGTTGCTTTATATGTGCTTGTTCAGAACTTTTTCATATAATCATTGTATGGTTTGCCAAACACATTTTTTAGCCCGTCTATAAAATAAGACTAATATTTTATATATACGTCAGAAATCGCAATTTTACAAATTTTAATTCAATACAAACTGAATGATATAAAAAATTTAAATTTATAAAAATGCAACATACTTTTTCAAGTTTCTCTGAAATGATTTTAGCCATCTTATTCATCTCATCGTCCGGCACCTGTACGTAGAAATTGAAGTTCTAAGCAGTCCATGCATTGAAAAACAAGACTTTGTACCCATCAATAAATATTTCATGTTCATTACATGTGTATACATATCATTTTTTTTATAATGACAGTCGTAATTGTTTAAAAATTTTCATTTTCAGAGAGAGAGTTCTTCGTACCCATCTCACATCGAGGATAACAACGTTGTTGTCTCTGTTTAAATGATATTAAATAGCAGGATAACACTGAGATAAGAAAAATATTAAGTTAATTACTATGCTGCATTGGCAAAAACTGTCAACACTGTCGACAAAGTGTTGACGTTGTTAGAAAACAACGTTATTACCCAAACGCATCGTATTATATCTTAATATAGATTTTTTTAAGGATTATAAAGCAATCATAGACTGTTAGGTATAAAAATATGACAAGTTTTAGGTCTGAGAAAGGTTGTCAACCAGAAAAAAAACATATTAAATATTTGAATATAGTCTTCAAATTACAGAAATTATTAAACAACAGAAAACAAATAAATATATGTAAATATATCTCTATACTGACTGTGTTGTGAGCTTCACTGCTTGTGTTCTTTAGGATCTAGAATGGAGAAACAATGAAATTAAATACTTTAACAAATTTTATCCGGAGAATTGAAGACAAGAATAAAAATGCAACATACTTCTTCGCACTTTTCTGAAAGGTTTTCCCGGACTTAATTTAAATCTTATCTTGCAACATATAATAGCATTTTTGCCTTTATATTTATACATTTGTGGAATCTCTCCATTATATAAACATACAGAGAGAAAATATCTTCAATTCTGTATGAAGTTTATCAGAGGTCAATTCCTGACCTAAACACACGGCGCAATAATATCTACCGGTACATAAATTATAAAATCACCTGCTCTACTTGCTTTTCATGTATAAAAATGAACAAAATAAGCAAGTAAAATGATAATTATTTTATTAAAATGTAAACAAGTATTTCGCACAGTTTTGGGGCTATCGATTCAAACTGTGCGCATAGAAAAAAACTAGGAGCCAGCGTTTGTTTACATTTTTCTTCACTTTTGTCAGCTGCACAGTCTCTAATGTTCATCCTTATTTTTGGGTAGACCTTTGGTTAAATTTTCATGATAAACTTTGATTATCTTTAAATTTCACTCACGATAAATGTGTAAATCTGTTGAAAAATATTATTGCAATTACTCCATGAACAGCTGCCAAACACCTCGGCGTTTTCATAGTTCACTGTAAAGCTGTCTGCAGTGTCTCCGTATTTATTAGTGTTTTACGATAAGTATGCCTTTAATTACTGAAACCGTAGAATGTTTTTGATCAAATTGCAAATTAACTGGCTTGGATAAGTGTCTCAATCCATTGGATCCATCCATCCCTTTCCGGCGATCGAAATTCCTCCAACTTTTTATCATCAAACTTCGGACGTGTTTCTTGTGTCTTTTCAGCATCGATTATCATTTTTCACGAATAAGAATATTCCTAGACAACAATCTGTTCACTATCACTGATCACAAGTAGCCTTTCACAAAATATTCCCTTCGAAATAGGGTCCTTAGCCTAATGCATTAGAAGCGTAACCGCCATGCAAGCCGATTTACACCTTGCGTCATGTTTCAAAATCTACGACGGACGGTTAGTGCAATAATTTAAATTCGAAAATATTCAATTTTCTTTCTCAAATGTATATACGATAAGTAATAAATGACAAGTTTATAAACTTCAATGGAAATTGAAGTGGGTCGGTACGTAATCAAATCTTTTGAGAAGGCCTTAGGTCTTCACAGGATTTGATCACGTGACCGACCCACTTCAATTCCCATTGAAGTTTATAAAATTGTTATTTGTTTCTTAAATAAAGCACACTTTCCGTTAAAAATGAATTGAAAACTAAAAAAACTGATACAGTTATGTACCTTTTCCTGCTTTTCTGAAAGGGTTTTCTCCATCTCTTTCATATCATCTTGTAATACCTGTATGTAGAAAAAAAATAATCAGTCAATGCATTCGAAGCACGGACTCTTTGCACGTCAACAAAATATTCACGGACATTTTCAAGATCTTTCAGTATTATATAGTATACATATATGGACAATGTAGGTCGATATGTGATTATAAGGACTCATGGCAAGTGATATTGACCGAATTAACAGAAAGTGATATTGACCGAGCCTGCAAGGATAATTTTACCATTAATATTCACCCCTACTAGTGTGTTCGGATCCTTTTATTTTTCGATGTTCTGCGAATTATTCTGGTAGTATCCGAGGAGGTCGAAGTAGCTCTTGGGTCATTTAGCTAGACTTAGCAAGACTACAGCGAGATAGGGAAAATTATTTACAAAAATGTGGCTTGGAAGTGACTAGCATGAGGAAACGGAAGAGTTATGTTGCGTTTCAGTTTCAGTTGTTTTGTATAATATCAGTAGAAATGTACTTCAATCTATCTAAATTTCATTCAAACTTCAATTACATACAAGTATTCTTCATAAACTTTAATTTCTGCACTTATCTATTTAAATTTCTTTTTGACCAACATATTGCATGGGAACTGGGATTATATTTTTGGCGTCAAATTAAACAAAAGGTACCAACATGACTTAAAGCTGAAAACGACTCGTAAATAGGCATACTTCATTTTTGATATTATTTATCTATGATATCAACACCAGGGTTTTCCCTTCGCATTCTTTTAATTACATCTGACTGATTTATTGTCATGGGTATGGGCATGGAATGCAGACCCGTATTCGTGTTGGTGATCTTGCATTACCTTTGTATACATTTTTATCACAGTTACATATATCTGATTTTGTTGTATACTTCACTGACCTGCACAATTATTGTTAGTTTCTTTGGTATCTTACTTTTCTGCATTAGAAGAGGTATTAGTTATTTTGTCGCTACCGAGTGCTGTATAGCATATGTCTGTCTACACCGGTGTCGACTGATAACACTGAAAAGTGACTATCTCAGGTCCTTTAAATAGGGGTCCTAAGATATAGCGAGAGTCCAATAGAAAATTGCGAACGTATTCTTTTTACGAATCGTGTTCAGCTTTATACTGACAAATCAGCTGAATAAGTTGCATTACATAATAGGTTACTGAGGTTACTACAGGAATTTTACGTTTGCCAAAAAATAAAATAAAACAAAACAAACAAAAAAAAAAATCTACAGGCGATCGGAAAGGCACAGTAAACTTTTTTTTTTCTCTTGGATTTTGTAGATCTATGAAAAACAATATTTCCATTTTTTGTATTATTTCAACACTCATAATTACAAACAATTCATTTGTTAATTAATCGTGGAATTCTAGGGTTCTTAAGGCAATACTGTAATTCAAAGATCTGTTCCTGTATTTTTTTGTTGCACCATTGAAGAAAACAATTGTCAGGTAGATTCCCTGACCTGAAAAACGTGTGTTAACAAGTATTTTACTGTTAGTACAAACCCTTTGCTGTTCATGTAAATGTTTATAAGATACTGTTCGTTCTTCTTATCCTACAGTCGCTGTTGTTCTATGGCACAGAATACATTTTTTATGCATTTTCTAGTGAAAAACGTAACAACAACTTACAAACGCGTAGACATTTTTTATGTTTCTTATCTTTGTATTTTCCCCAATAAAAGCTATACTAATCAAAATTTCTAAGTCCCCACGTAAGTTTTTGTTTTACACTGTTTTTATATTAAATAATTCAGACAATATAAATTGAAAACTATACAGGATAAAAAGAAGCAAAATATTTTTTTTTTCACTTAATCTAATTATATTGAAGGACTTAAACACAAAATGCAGAAGAGTGAAGGCACCCTAGAATTAAAAATTCGCAACGTTCAATACTGTTTTTATCCTCCGTGCAATCGAATTAAGATCGAGTCAATTGCTTCTCAAAGAGTTCACAAAATTAAAGTAAAATCTTTATTGAAGGTTATTCCATGTATGGACTAGGTCGTCCACTATATTTCCACCAGATTCTGCTGCTGGAAAAGCGCTCGATCTCTGGTCCATCTTGTCCCGTTCGTGATCTATAGGGTTGAGATGTGGATGACATTGAAGCTTACCGAAATTGTTTGAACCCAATATTAATCCTACAGTACATAAGGTCTTCTTAAACGCATTCCCCACTCTTCCAGTTTGTTTCTAATAATTTGGATAATTAAGGAGAATTGAGTTAATTTTTAATGAGTGCAGAACAATTGCACGTGCAGATAGCTTCCTTCCACAATAGTTAGTAATTCTTATAAACTAGCCCTGTAGATGTGTCTTGAAGTACGTGTATACGCCTTGACCATGGGCACTTCCGGTTCCGGTTTGAGTGAATTTCCGGTTAAACTCTAGGGTGGTTAACTGGTATTTCTTAAAAATGTAGGAATTTTTAATGATTATAAGGAATACAAGTAAGCTTTGTGCATCTTCCTGACGGTATTTTTAACGGTTTTACATAAAATAAACAAATACAAACGAAGGAAATACAACTTTCTTTTACTACCATCAGCTTGGACTATGGCAATTCGCTTGCACATTGTCGTTCGTACATACATGGCATTCTAAACAAGATTTTTTTCTGTTTTTCCTATACAACGAAAGATGGAGAACACATGGCAATTTAAATTAATGGAAGATACACCCGATTACGTATGAAATTCGCACTTCCTGCTTTTTAACAAAAAGGGTCATGGATGAGTAATTACACATTCGATTTCAATTTTTTTTGGCCGTAAAACCCCAGTCACATTTCCAAAAACGACCAACGGCCGACGGGTTTTGAAGCAAAATGGGATTCTTCGGGTGACAGTCGTCAGTTCATCATAATTTTTTGTCGGCCGACCAATTTTATGTCCATCGGTCCAAGTTATAATTAAGTTATAATTTTTCAAGCGTCGGTGGCCGATTTCTTCAAGTGCAGTTATCCGTCGACCAACGTTCGATTATCGTCCAACCATCGGCGGTCAGTTTATTATGTCGGTCGTCCGTCGTTAGACAATAAGGGTGTTGAAAATTTCGGCCGACGGTTAAAATCAAACTGTAGCTCAGAGCTCGATGATCGGGGGACGATTGGCCGACTTGTGAATATTTAACCTATTAAGGATACATAACACAAACAAAATTTTGATGCATAGATTGATATAAATTTTTTGATCGGAGATAACATAAATAATTAATCCGTAAGATATAAAGAAATCTTAAGTATTCTTTGCTGCTTAATGATATGCACCATTTTTCGTTTTTATGCAATTCTATGCAAATTTTGCACATATTTTCAACATTCAGTCACAATTTTATAAGATTCTGCCACTTTGCCTTGCAAACATTACTCACGTCACCTATCTGAATATAGATCTATGAAAAAATATTGCTGACTTCTAAAGAAAAAAAAATTTTGTGTTATTTATTAAAGTCATCGGTTTCCCTCGGAAATAATGTGACTGCTCCCTGTCGCCCGATGATGTGTCGGCCGATCCTGTTCTTTCAGCCGACAAGACCCGAAAAATTTAGTCGCCTGACCATCGGCTTAAATGTGACCTAGGCATAACAGGCAATCATCAAAAAATTAAGTCAAAATTGTGAAGAACTGGTTAATTAATGTTAAGGTTTTTAAATAATTAAGATAATAAAAGTGGTGACTTAGAAATTTTGACAAGTATATTTTTTTAGATTGTTTTTGCAGTCCATTTAATATTAGATAGTAGATTGACATGAACCACGCGTTAAAAGGAAAAAGTAAACATGTAGTTGGTCATTTAACGTTGCTATTCATTCAACGGTTGGTCAATTGTTAGTGAGATCCGCTGTACGCATTAATAACAATAACCATATAAGGTAAACAAAGGTTTGTCCTTGTAAAAGATATCTCACATTTGTGTACCAGCGTTATGGAAAAATATCTCTACTGCGTTCCAATCTTCATCGTAATTTGTCACAAAAGTTAAGGTTAAGTATATTGTAATTTTAACTCCCTCCCCCTTTCTTTTTTTTTAAAATCATGATAATATTTCAGAACGGTTTGAAAACACATGTTTATAAAGAGGGTTGAAATGTCTCTAAAGCAAGTCAATCATGAAGGTCAAAAGGTGAAAATCGTTGGTATCCAAAGGAAGGTCTTGCCATAAGGAATAAACCTATGAAACATGAAAGCCCTAGTATAAACTGTTCAAAATATGACCAAGGTTAAAGTTTCCGAAAAAGAGGGTCAAACTCAAGGTCAAGGTAAAAAAAAAATTATTCCAACTCAAAGGCCTTGTCAAAAGGAATGCACCTGTGAAATATGAAAGCCCTTCTCCTCATTGTGCAAAAGTTATAGCAAATGTTAAAGTTTTTGAAAAAAAAGTGGGTTAAACTCTTCGGTCAAGGTCAAAAATTTTAAAATTTGTTGATATCCATTTAAGGTCTTGTCTCAATAAATTCACATGTGAGGTACGAAAACCCTAACTCCAACTGTTCAAAAGTTATAACCAAAGCTCAAGTGTAGTATTTTTTGGTAAAAACAGGTCAAACACCAAGGTCAAGAAGTCAAATTTGGTGATACTCAAAGAAAGGTCTTGTCGTAAGAAATACACCTGTCAAATATGTCATAGTTTTTCTCCATCAAAAGTTATGGGCGATGTTAAAGATTTGGTGGACAAACAGACAGACAGACAGCCGGACGGACGGATGGACACGACATAAACTATATTCCCCCCAAACTTCGTTTATGGGTCATAAAAAGAAACAGACTATTTGAAAAACCCGTTTACTGTCAATTTTATCTACAAAACTGGTTCTACCTTTTAACCTTTGAATGGGTCAACCTTCTTCACGTGTCTTAAATTTAAATCACAAAAACATCGGTTCGAGTGATATTTGATATACGCTTACGATATGGATTATGAAGTATTACTTCTATTTCTATTAAAAAATAAATCTTACCGTAAGTTTGTCTTTTTCTGGAACACTCATTTCCCTGAAATAAAAAAAAGACAATGATAGATCGCCACATATAACTACAAAAATATTTGAATTACACATAAACATACAAAAATGAATGTGACAGTTTAAAAATGAAGCAGTGAGAGAAATGAAACATCGATACAGCTATCGCTACATCTATTTTTTTTCCCTGTAATTGAGTGAATTAGAATAAATTTGACCAGAAATAAAAGAAAAATCTATCTGAGATTCTGACCTCAATCTGTATTAACAAATTAATTATTGTCTTCAGCTTTTCCAAAAAAAATTAAAAAAGGTTTTTATTGATTGAAAATGTTTGTAAGAAATAATCATGTGTCAAAATTTGTGCGATTAAAGACTGATCATAATTAATCAGTTAAGTTAAAAGTTACCTTAAATAGCAAAAATAAATTACTGTGACATATATTAACAAGAGTATTTCGAAATGCATCGCTTAATGACGTCAAATACAGCTCATATTTCACATTGACAAATTCAACTTTTACACTTCTTGTTATTCTGTTAAAAGACGAAAGAAACAAAATTTAAAACATTATCAATATACTTTTAATATAATAAATATTATCTCGTATCTTTTAGGCCATCTCTTGGACATAAGCTCTATGGAAAAAAATATCTGGTTTAAATCATTATGCTAGGTTAAAGCAAAGAAACCGACGTTAAGAGATTATGTTACAGGAGTACAGTACTTTGAACTTGCTGACAAATAAATGTATAAGTTCGATCATTGTTTTATTGCATGTATGTGTAAAAAAAATCATTTACTGTCAAATCTTCCTTTTCGTGATTTCAAAGCATCTACACGTTAACTTTGAAACTGAGTTTAATAATTTTAATGATTTATTTGTCAAAAGAATCATGAAAAATCAAAATAATGTTTGCACCGTGTTTGATCAAAATCAAACAATGCCTATTGGTAATTTTGTTTATATAACCTTTAGGAAAAAGATAATACGTACTAAACTTTATCTAAGTTAAGATAAACGAATCATATCTTTCTGAAAGTATATAGTTCAAATAGTTACCCCTTTACTCTGAAAGCAGCTGAACCTTCCATCTCCCGCGTCTCCGGAAGTTCAATATCAAAATTTGTGTCATACAAAAACACTGAAAATATAAAAAAAAAATTTAGGTTTTTAAACAATGAATTTAACTCACTATATTAACATTTCTAATATCTTTGTTCGAGATAAAATTCCAAATAGGTCATGTATTTTATTTCTCCATCAATGTACTGCTTCATCGATAGGTGCGGTTAAAATAAACCACCGGCAGGGTCGGATAAATAGAAGCAAGAAGCGGGCTTCCAGCACGAGGATTGGCGGAATCGATGCCATGGGAATAAAAGGAATAACTGTCAGATTTTTTGATTTCATGACGATGATCAATCGATTGGCTTGCGTGATAATTTTATGCATAAATGCCTTCAGCGTTTATGTAAATTATAACGCTAGCCAACTAATTAATCACATCATGAAATCGAAAAATAAGACAGTTATTCCTTAGATGAAAACGCAAAAACAAGTAATGATGATAAATTGTACCGCGAAGACAAAAATAAATTTTGCATATATCGTCGAGTCAATTTAGCATTGATAAGAAGCATCAAACTAAACGCAGCACAATCTCTTTTGCCATTTATAAACTCTAAAATGCATACAAAATTAATGTAATAAATAATCTACAGTACCGACCCGATACAACCAAACAGAAAGAGAACCCGGTTCGCTCTCTTGGTCCGCTTCGGGTTTATTCGGGGTCAGCTAGGGTTGACCCAGAGAAACCCGGAGCGCACCCGAAGCGGATTTCTAGCGGACCCAGAGCGAGCTCCGAAAGCGAACCCCATTTGCAGTAGCTGTCCCAGAAAGCGAACGCCCGTTCGATATTATATAACTGCTGTAAATCAGGTTTCGCGTTTAACAAATCAACGCGTCGACCAATCAACATGTCAATTGGGATAAAAGATCAAATGCATCGCCCAGTCAGCGTGTCGACCAGTTTGTTATTCAATATAAATCTAAACATTGTACTTTTACAAGCAAACCGTGTTTATGTACATTATAAATCTAATTTTGTGTTATTAAAATGAATATGAAAATATTTTTTCATATAAATATATTTTAATTCTCCGGTCATCATGTTATATCTATACATTTATTTTGTTTATTTTATTATTAAAAGCGATAAATATATTATATATATTTTAATTCTCCAGTAAGCATGTTACATGTATATTTATGAATTTATTTTCGTATATTTTTTTACATTTAAAGCCCATTTATTGATAAACATGATAAATATACATTTGGGTAAATTTATCGGTCAATGTGTACTATAATAGTCTGGTCCTGATTTTTAAAAAGAAGGCTGGAAATAACTTCTAACGGCAAATAATTATTATTTGGTCCAGCTTAGTTTTTTAACCTAATTCGAGTACGCTGAATCCGAAAAAATATGCTGGCCTTCATGAAAATGGCGTTAAAGAGGTCAAAATGGCGATTCAAAATGGCGGACATTCAATTTTTCTAATTTTCTCTTAATGCCGTTCAAAATGGGGAAGTAATGAGTGAATATCTTACTGAGTGTAATAAAACCATAAAAAATATAATAAAATGCTAATATCATTAGTTTAACTCAGAAAATTTAGCCGTTTTACACTTAATTCGAATTTTCTCTGATTTTTTTGTCTATTGTTTCTTTATTCTTCTTTGTTCAGGATTTTACATTTGCAAACATCCATACACTGCAGATTTGTATTTTTCCTCTACATCTCACTATTCTACAATTGAATAATGTTGCAGCAGTAAGTTAAAAGTCAAAATGGCGATTCAAAATGGCGGATATTCCTTTTTTCAAATTTAATTCTTAATGTCGTTTACATAGGAGAAAGGATTTTTGAATATCTTATTGAGAGATGTACAACTATGTAAAATTCCAATAGAACACTAGTATCACGATCACTTTAAATCGGAAAATTTAGTCGTTTAAATTTAAGATGTATTATTTAGCTCAAAATGGCAATTCGAATGGCGTTTTATACACTCGATTTCGTAAAATACCCAAACTGCTTAATTCTGATTTGTTTTTCAGAAAATAAATAACAGGTTTTTTCTTTATTCATGAAATAATGTTCAAATATGTAATAAAAATTAATGGATATTTTCATTATTGACTTAGGATTTTTATAAAACGGATTTTTGTTTAATTACTTCTATTATTAAGATAAATCTTTGACAACAATTCCGAAGACATTTCACCTATTATTCTTCATAAATATCATGCTTCTTCATATAAAAAGTTAATAATATCATACAATAATTGCTGTTTTGAGGACAATATGAAAATTAAGCTACCCCAAGAGCACTATTCACCGAGCATTAAGGCGAGTGAACATTGTAGTTCGAGGGTTGCTAAATCATATGAGTTGTTGGAAATTCTTGATCTAATTTTAGTCAAGTGTAGAAAAAAATGTTTATGTTCATGTGGAAGATCTAGTGCAACATAACTTAGTATGATTTGTAAAATGATGAACCACGAGCAATTAGAGGGATAGTAATTGTTACATCATATAAATCTTAATATTTTATGATATCCAAGCATAAACATATTTATTAAGAATTATCAGTATAATATACGTAAACCATAATTTTTTTTGATTGTCCAGCGCTGATTCTGTGTCCCTACATTTGGATTTTGTTATTCTCAGTCAAAAATTCAACTGCATTCTCAAATATTTCATGGTGTGAACGGTCCTCTTCCACCAATTTTGTATTGAACAGTGTATATAAATTAAAAAAAATTGAAATTGACAAAATCTGAAAGAAGAAAATGTTTGTGTTCAGTCCTCCCTCGACTCTTGATACAACTTTACACTATCCTAACGAAGAAGTGTGGATCAAGTTGCCTTGTAAAGTTCTTGGAGTGTTCAAGAAAATTTTGTTGTCATGAGAAATGTTGACTAGATCGAAGTCAAGAATGGCTAAGGCCTATTGGTACGAAAGCTTATAAGTGATAGGAATCACGAGGAATCTTCAGGCGCTATTAAATTGCATAATTTTACAACTTTTCTCACCAAAATATGCACACAATGTGATTCCAGATAATAAAGTTTGAGAATTTTATTGCTTATAGAATGACCTTTCTACCCTAAAAGAAAAACAAATCTATACGCGTCACGAAATAAAGAGCTACATGTCTTAAATATCAGATATTTTTTGAAACACACACCCCTCGATTGAAAAGCGGGAGGGTTTTGAGTAGTCGGTATGTCCGTCCGTCCGTCCGTCTTTTACGCTTTGGGGTACCCGTCTCTTATCTGCAACTCGTCTCATACTACTGAATAAAATTTGATTGATTGATTGTATACTGTTTAACGTCCCTCTCCAGAATATTTCACTGATATGGAGACGTCACCATTGCCGGTGAACGGCTGCAAATTTAGGCCTATGCTTGGCACTTACAGCCTTTGAGCAGGGAGGGATCTTTATCGTGCCACACCTGCTGTGACACGGGGCCTCGGTTTATACGGTCTCATCCGAAGGACCGCCCCATTTAGTCGCCTTTAACGACAAGCAAGGGGGTACTGAGGACCTATTCTAACCCGGATCCCCACGGGGTGAATAAAATTTGATAAACTTTCACAGAATCTTTATTACATATTCCTCTTTTACTTTTTGATCCAACACATATCTTGTGTTTCACATAGCAAAACATCGACACTGTGTATTCATATGGGTGACGGGGGTATCATTAAGTGAGCTAATTGCTCACAGTACCTCTTCTTCTTTTTTCATAAGGTTTTGGAAAACAAAATAGACTTTTAACATTTGAACATAAATGTATTGTTCCTTGAGCGTTGATTTATTGTATATTGTTTAACGCCGAGTCGACCATTTTTTAGCCATGTTTCGGCGGACTATCAGTTTAAATAATCTGTTTTTGAAGGATTTTGGTTTCTCTGGTGGCCCCCTGTGAGCTTACTCTTTTTCAAACTCCAGAGAAAAGATCTTTTACGTGCCAAGTGGGTTGTCAGCCTTGACACAGGACACCGTTTTACTTGAGCGTTGAAAATACCGAAATTCCGAAGACAGAGTGAAACATATAAAATAAAGCTGGAATAGAAGTTGTTAGGGGATAATTCTAAGTTCTTATAAGTGCTAAAAAGCTATAACAAAGTGTTCGATGAAATCGGAATAGAATTTCCTCAGTTATATTTGATGGTGTGCTGAGGGATGTTGAGATAGAAATGCGAGTTGATAAAAACTGGATTCAGGAGTGATTTTAGGTGGACGGGGGCTCAAAGGCTTTGGAACACGGTCAAATACGAGGGGGAAAATTTGGAAACTCTTAAGTCGCGTTTGTTTTAACTATTTCCAAAAAAAAATGAATCTTTTCTGAAATTTTTTTTTGTTCATATTTAATGGAATAATCAATATACTATAATTATATACAAAAAACAAACTGTAATTCATTTTCAAAATTAAGCAGTTTGAGTATTTTGCGAAATTCGAGTGACTATGACGTTATTTTGAGTTTTGAGCTAATTAACACATTATTTTAAATTTAAACCACTAGATTTTCCGTTTTAAAGTGTTCATATTAGTGTTCTATTGAAATTTTACATTAATTAATTGTACTCGCTTGGTAAGATATTCACAAATCATTTTTCCTATGTAAACGACATTAAGAAATAATTTAAAAAAGGAATATCCGCCATTTTGAATCGCCATTTTGACTTTTAACTTACAGCTGCAACATTATTCAATTGTAGAATAGTGAGATGTAAAGGAAAAATACAAATCTGCCGTGTATGGATATTTGCAAATGTAAAATCCTGAACAAAGAAGAATAAAGAAACAATAGACAGAAAAATCAGAGAAAATTCGAATTAAGTGTAAAAACGGCTAAATTTTCTGAGTTAAACTGAAAATGTTAGCATTTTATTATATTTTTTATAGTTTTATTACACTCAGTTAGATATTCACTCATTATTTCCCCATTTTAAACGACATTAAGAGAAAATTAGAAGAATTGGATGTCGACCATTTTGAATCGCCATTTTGACCTCTTAAACGCCATTTTCATGAAGGCCAGCATATTTTTT